TGGGTACTTGGGCTGGGAAGGGGAGGAGGACGGTTCCATCAGGGCCGTGAAAGGCTTTTAGATTCTTCTGTCTTGGCCGGGCGTGGCCGGGCTCATGCCTGTAATCACGACACTTTGGGAGGCTGAGGCATGAGGATTGCATGAGTCTGGGAGTTCGAGACCAACCTGGGTGACATAACGAGACCTCATCTCTACAAAAAAAATCAAAAAAATTAGCTGGGCATGGTGGTGCATGCCGGTAGTCCTACTTACTGGGGAGGCTGAGGCAGGAGGGTTGCTTGAGCCCAGGAGGTCGAGGCTGCAATGAGCCTTGACTATGTCACTGAGCTCCAGCCTGAGTGACAGAGTAAGACTCTAACAAAGAATATATAAACATTGAAAAAAATAAATAAATGTTTCCATCATTCTGGGCTGTACTGTTGGTCATTCTTTCGATCACTCATTCATTTATTACACAGGCACTTACTGACCCCCTGCTCTGTACCAGGCAGATACCCTGCTGGGCTCTGGGGATAAGGTGAGGACTGACAGGCATGGTCCTTGTGGGCTCACATTTTACTGGGAAGATGAAAAAATTGCCCAGTTAGTTAATTAATGCAAAGTTGGTAAGTGCTACCCAGGGGGAGAAAGGTGGTGGTGGGGGACCTGGAGAAGAAAGGAGTCCTTGGGAGGCCTGGGGGCTAAGTGGTCCCAGGTTGGACCCAGGGTCCACTTCCTGCCTCTCTGAGCCACAGTTTTCACGGCAATAGAATGCGGACATGTTGTCTATGAGAAAATGCACCTTCAGCACTTGTCACATAGTGAGGGCTCAATAAATACTTTTTTTTTTGAGTTGGGGTCTCACTCTGTGGCTCAGGCTGGAGTGCAGTGGGACAGTCATGGTTACCGCAGCCTCGACCTCCTGGGCTCAGGCAGTCCTCCTGTCTCAGCCTCCCTTGTAGTTAACTACTGATGCACGCCACCATACCCAGCTAATTTTTTTTTTTTTTTTTAGAGATGAGTCTCGCTATGTTGTCCAGGCTGGTCTCCAACTCCTGGGCTCAAGCAATCCTCCCACCTCAGCCTTCCAAAGTGCTGGGATTATAGGCCTGAGCCATCACACCTGACCATGATAAATACTTTTTGATGGTGTTACTTCCTGAGAGGGAGGGGACTGAGGGTGATACTCATAAAGGTAGGTATTCCCCTTGACTTCAGGTTTCTGGCTGATAGGATGGGGTGACAGCCTACAGCTTTAACTCCCAGAATCCCATGAACAGTCTCACAAAGCAGGCCTGAGCCTGGGTGGCTAAAGCCGCGGTGAGCTGTGATCATGCCACTGCACTCCAACCTGGGCGACAGAGTGAGACCTCAACTCAAGGAAGGAAGGAAGGAAGGAGAGAAAGGAGGAAAGAAAGCCTCTCATCTGTACCTTCAAGGCAGGATACTTGTTCTGAGGATGGAAGAAGTATTAATAATACACATAAATGACTTTGCATGGCACCTGGCACCAAATAAAAGGTCTTCACGGCAGACTTGCTACTGTTCAGAATAGTATTTTAAAACAACAGTCTAAAATGGGAAGGCCCATGGCCAGCTCAGACAAATTCCTTCTTTTTTTTTTTTTTTTTTTGAATCAGTGTCTCACTCTGTTGTCCAGGCAGGAGTGTAGTGACACGATCACAGCTCACAGCAGCCTCAACCTCCTGGGTTCAGGTGATCCTCCTGCCTCGGCCTCCTGAGTAACTGGGACTACAGGCCTGTGCCATCACACCCGACTAATTTATTTTTATTTTTTGTAGAGACAAAGTCTCGCTATGCCCCTCAATCTGGGCTCAAGTAATCCTCCTGCCTCGGCCTCTAAAAGTGTTAGGATTTTTATTTTTTTATTTGAAGGATATGGGGTACAATTCAGAGTTGGGTATACAAACATTCATTATGCAGGTACCCTTGTTGATGAGGCGTGCCCCTCCCTCCCCTGGCAGTTTCCCTCAACTGCCAATCCCACCGCTCCCACTTCCCCTGGCAGTTTCCCACTACTGCCAATTCCTTTCTTACAGTATTATGATAATTGTTCAAGGTCTGCTTATGAGTGAGAACATATCTGTTCTTTGATTTGGTGATAGATCACTGAGTATGATAGGCTCTAAATCCATCCAAGTTGCTGCAAAGTTTGTCCTTATTTATGACTGCATAATATTCCATTGTGTATATGTACCATTTTGTTTGTTTGTTTTGAGTTGGAGTCTCACTCTGTCACCCAGACTGGAGTGCAGTGGCCGCTCCCGGCCACCGCAGCCTCGACCTGCTGGGCTCCGGCGAACCTTCTGCCTCAGCCTTTCAAGTAGCCGGAATTACAGGCATGCACTACCATGCCCGGCTGATTTTTTGATTTATTGTAAAGATGAGGTCTTGCTGCCCAGGCAGGTCTTGAACCCGCAGGCTCAGGCAATCCACTCACTTCAGCCTCCCAAAGGCGTGGGATTACAGGTTGAGCCACCCAGCCCGGGATGTACCATGTTTTTTAAATCCAGTCCAGCTTCGATGGGCGGCATGGTTGGTTCCATGCTTTTACTATTGTGAACAGAGCTGCAACAAACATGCGTGTGCAGGTATCATTTTTAAAGTGTTAAGATTATAGATGAGAGCTACCATGCCTGACCAACAAATCCCTTCTTGAAAATAGATGCTCCTTCATTTATGTCTGCCTTTGCACTTCTGCCTGGGCAGGGCCTGTGGGATCCAGGGGCATTGGTGTTACCCGGGATGGAGAGTCGGGGTGGGAAGAGACCCTGTCTTCACTCTGCTGGAGGAGACCACCTGAGCCTCCTGTGTCCATGGCCTTGAACTCTAAGTCAGAGATGAAGAGGCTTAGGGGGCTGTGAGTCACATGGAGCAGAGTGCCTTGGAGGGCAGCCCATGGGGTGATGGGTCCTGGTCTCTCTCAGCTAGCATCCCCGTGGACAGCAGGGAAGCAGGGATCATTGGAGAGAAGATAGTGGGGAGGAATGGTAACAGCTAGGGGCCAGGGATGGACTCTACAGAGAGAGCGAGAGAGAGAGAGAGAGAGAGAGAGAGAGACAGAAAGACACAGAGAGAGAGAGACAGAAAGACAGAGAGAGAGACAGAAAGAGAGAGAGAGACAGAAAGACAGAGAGAGAGAGACAAAGAGAGAGAGAGAGAAAGACAGAGAGAGGCAGAAAGACAGGAGAGAGAGAGATGGGGGGAGGGGAGAAAGAAAGGGAGGGAAAGAGAGAAAGGGAAGAAGGGAGAGAGGGAGGGAGAGAAATAAAAAAGAGGGAGGGAGAGAGGGAGGGGGTAGGAAGAGAGGAGAGATACGCAGAGAGACAGAGAGGCAGAGAGAGGCAGAGGGAGGGCGGAGAAGGAAAAAGGGAGGTGGCCTGTGAAGGTAGGAAATTGAGAACGACAGAGAAACTAGACACGAGTAGCACTTAGAAAGGTGCAGTGTGGTGGTGTCACCCGCCACCCCCTGAGCGGCGGTGCTCGGTCCCGCTCCTCCCTGCCATTTGCTGCGCGCGGGGCCTTGGCTGACGGGCGGCAGGGCGCATGGCCACTGACATATGCTGGCGGAGGCCACTTGGGCAGGACATCAGAGGCCGCGTCGGGGGGAGGCAGAGCAGCTTTCTCGGGCAAAGCTCAGCAGCTTGTTCGAGTGCATTAGGCTCAGGAAGGCACCGGCCCCTGCACTGTCTAAATTGCAGTTGGATGCAGTGCAGCAGCCGGCCAGGCTGGCCGCGGATGTGGCTTTGTGCAGTTTTCTTGGCAGGGCCAGGCAAGTCCCCTGTGGCCTCCTACAAAGGCTCCCTCTGCCCAAACTGGGCACATGCGCCTTCCCCCTTTCCCCATCCTGGAGTCACTGTTCCCAAATCTCCCGTTTCCCTTTCACTGTGTGACACCCTGGCTCTTACCTCATTCTTTCCCTGCTAGAAGTTACTGTAGGCTGGACGTGGTGGCTCATGCCTGTAACCTCAGCACTTAGGGAGACCGAGGCGGGAGGATTGCCTGAGCCCAGGGGTTCGAGACCAGCCAGGGCAACTTGGCAAGAACTTGTCTTTACAATAAATCAAAAAATTAGCCGGGTGTGGTGGTGCACACCTGTGTTTCCAGCGACTCGGGAGGCTGAGGCGGAAGGATCACCTGAGCCCAGGAGATCGAGGCTGCAGTGAGCCATGACGGTGCCACTGCACTTCAGCCTGGGTGACAGAGTGGGACTCCAACTCAAAAAAAGCTACTTGAGATGAATCTCTGTCTGGGTGCCGTGGGCGACATGGCTGAATGAACACCCATTCAGTTCAGGACCCGTTCCCTGGGTCCTTATGTGGGTCAATCAGAGGGCATGTCACGCACCTGCTCCAGTCCTCAGGAGATGTTTGTTCCCCTCTCCCCAGACATACCACCCCGTGGGAGGCTTACGGCTGATGGGTGTGCACTGTCTTGCACCCCCAAGTTCCCTATGCAGACATGGCATTGGCAACTCCATCACTGAAGGGAGGTTTGGCCCAGACAGCCGCCACGCCATGTGGACGGCCACCCAGGTCTGCAGCCAGACGGTTTGGGTTCAGCCCAAGGCTCTGACGCTTTGCCACATTTATGTTTTTCCTTCTACAGAATGGGACAACGGCAGCTACCCCTTCTGGTGACCGTGAGGCAGCCCTGAGTTGACGTAAGTGGGGCTCAACCCCTAGCACTTCAGAAGTGCTAAAAAAAGTTAGTTATTACTGTTATTGTTTTATTTTTGTAGAGTTAGGCTCTCACTATGTTGCCCAGGCTGGTCTTGAACTCCTGGCCTCAGGCGATCCTCCCACCTCAGTCTCCCAAAATGCTGGGGTTACGGGTGTGAGCCACCACACCACGCCAAAATGTTAGTCCTTGCTATTGTTATTGCTGTGGTTGTGCTAATCAATGGGTATAAGCCCACAGAGCTCCTGGACAGCAGGTGAAGACCGGACAAGGTGAGCGGTGGCCAGCCCTCGGTGCAGGACGAGGCAGGTAGCACTGACCTTCTGGAAGTGAGGCATATGCCACAGGGCCCCCAGCTTTGCCGGTGGCTTGTACTTCCTCAGCTGGCTGCTCCGGGTTTCGTACAGTTTTCCGAGAATCACCTGCCGGGCAGGGAAGGGCAAAGGTGAGATGGTCACCTGACTACCCAGAGAAGCCCCGAGGAAGGGATACAAGGGCAGAGGGCTGGGATTCCTGGTATGGCAGCACTTGGGTCACTTCCCTTCTGGCCTGATTCTTCTCTGAGGCTATTTCTTTTCTTTGCTCTTTTGAGTTGGGGTCTCATTCTGTCATCCAGGCTGGAGTACAGGGGCACGATCATGGTTCACCACAGTCTCCAACTCCTGAGTTTAAGTGATCCCTCCATCTCAGCCTCCCAAGTAGCTGGGATTACAGGGGCACACCACCATGCCCAGCTAGTTTTTGAAATTTTTTTTGAGACAAGGTCTCACTGTGCTACCCAGCCTGTGGCATCTGTTGTAGCAGCCTGAGCAGACCAAAGTGGCTGATTTGAGCAGAATCAGCTGGGGAAAGGCTCTGGACTCTGCATTTCCAACATGCAGGTGCACCCTCCTCCCCTTTCCCCCCCCCTCCACCTGGGGGCTTCAGTGCACACTCAAGAGCACTCCTTAGCCTATGGCTGTGATCCTTATCAAGATCCAAACATTCCTTGGGGCGTTTAAGAGGTCAGGCCCAGCTGGGCTCGGTGGCTCAGCCTGTAATCCCGCGCCTTTGGGAGGCTGAGGTGAGTGAATTACCTGA